GAAAGATGTTATAAATAGTAAAATTAGATCTATCATGCAAAATCACACTTGGGAGTTGGTAGATCTTCCTTTGGGAAGTAAACCATTGAGGTATAAATGAATTTTCAAGAGGAAATAAAAAATAATTGATCAATTGATAAGTGCAAGACTAGACTTGTAGTTAAAGGTTACAGGCAAAAAGAAGATTTTGATTACTTTTGATGATACACAAAAGTGTTTATGCTGAAATCAATCAAGGATGAAGTAAGAAGGGCTGAACACATGAAAACACAAAGATTAGGTAGATTCAGTTTGAGTGACCTATTCTATTGAAAATGACGACGGTAGGTGAAAAATCTTATTACTTTAGAGGTGTAGTATGGTGAGATATATGTAATGCCCACTATGTATAGACAGAGATTACAATTTATAGGTAATTGAAGTTGGCTCTGAGGGGCTCTGATGGAGACGTCATCCTCGTAACAGGGAATGTGGTGATTCCGTGAAACTTGCCCTATCCTCATAATAAGTGAGGTGATAGTAAGGTGATTCCTTGAAGCTAGCTCTACCTCGTAACGGGCAAGAGATCTTGCGAGGTTGATGATGTGCTTCTAATGACTGCATTTCAACTGATTCTCTCTCCTCGGATGGAGACTCCCATGTACGTTGGTGGTGGGCTGGGTCTCTCAAGACTATGAGCTTGGTCCAATTGTGACTAGGCCTTTGTTGATCCTGTGGTGGACTTGGCCTGTATAATTGAGCTTGAGTTTCATCTGCATCTATAATCTAGGCCTAATCTACATCTCTAATTTGGGCCTAGTTTGGACTGGGCTCGTCAACTTTGATATATATTATCTTGTTACGAGAATAACATCTATTCGTATGCTCATAGCTTTTGCAACGTTGAATAATCTTAAGATACACTAAATGGATGTGAAAACAGCTTTTCTAAATGATGATTTAAATGAGAGAATTTATATGGATAAACTCGAATGGTTCATTTCTTCAGGACAAGAGAAGAAGGTGTGTAGGCTTGTTAAATCACTTTATGGTTTAAAACAAGCACCAAAATAATTCATGAAAAATTAGACAAAGTCATGATATCCAATGGATTCACAATTAATGAATGTGATAAATGTGTTAATGTAAAAGATGCAAATAATGTATATATCATTGTTTGCCTATATGTAAATGATAAGCTTATTCTAGGTAGTAATAATGAGATTATTAAAACTACTAACAAAATATTGTCCAATAAATTTGACATGAAGGATTTGAGTTTTATAGATGTTATAATAGGAATTAAAATTTCTAGAACATCTGATGAACTTATATTATTTTAGTTACATTATATTGAGAAAATACTAAAGTAGTTCGACAACGATGAAAGTTGTATTGCTAGAACACCAGTTGATATAAATATTCATTTGTCTAAAAATACTGGCCAAAACATATTACAATTGAAATACTCTCATATCATTGACAATTTAATGTATGTTATAAACTGCATGAGACCAGATATAACATACCGAGGTAGTAAATTGAGTAGATATATGAGTAATTTCGGGAGTAGAACATTAAAAAGAAATTATCAAAGCTCTTAAATACTTAAGATAGATCTTGAATTTTGAATTGCACTATACAAGATATCTAGGTGTACTTGAAGGGTATAGTGATGGTAATTTGATATCTGATATGAAAGATACAAAATTTACAAGTGATTATATTTTTATATTTGGTGGTGTAACTGTATCTTGAAAATCCTCTAAACAAACGTGTATTACCAGATTCACGATGAAATCTAAATTTATTGTTTTAGATAAAGTAAGAGAGGAAGCTGAGTGGCTTTGCCAATTTCTAGAGGATATTTCAATATTGCCTAAACTATGTGTCAACAATTTGTATACATTGCGATAACCATCTACAATTGGTAGGGTACAGAGTAACATGTATAATGGTAAGTCTAGACATATACGTTGTAGAAATAATAACATTAGTCAATTACTCTCAAATGAAATTATTTCTATTGATTATATAAAAATAGAGGAAAATCTAACAGATCCACTAACAAAAGATTTGACGAAACAACAAGTAAATTGCACATCGAGAAGAATGGGGCTAAAGCCTATGACTTAAGAGTCATTTTAATAGCAACCCAACCTAGTTGACTGGAGGTCTCAAGATCTAGCTTCAAAGGGACAATTAAATTATGCGTGATTCAAAAGAAGCATTAAGGAGATAATATCTCTTACCTATTCCTATGATAAACTAATGTTGCTTGCAGAGTTTATTAGGATAAGTTATACTTTTAATTACTTTTATATCTTGAAAATCCAAGTCGGATATTGCAAGATATTTCCTAATAGGAGTCATCTATATAAGTGTGAAGGGGCCGCTTTTGTAATAATTTATAAAGGCTGAATTTTCTAAGCATTCATGAAAACCAGGACTTGTTTAAGGGCAAAATGAACACAATCATGAGAACTAATTGTTGTACTAAAAAAATTTTTGGTAATTAAAATATGAGTTTTGGTCAACTTTGAGCTTAAATTAAAATGTGACATGCTTATTGTTTCGAGTAAACTTTCGTTGGTTCGTGTTCTACTCCATGAAGAGAATAATATAGTATATTCACTTGAATAAATCGAGTAAGAAATGAATGAGCAAATAAGTTCCAAAGTGATTCTCTTGGAATGTGAAAATATAGATTATATAATGTGGGATTTGACACCAGTCCCACATGGGTTGAGGAAGAAATTCTACTTGTGTATATATATGCTAAGTTTTCTCCATACAAATATGGGATCTACTATTTCTTAATACTTGAGTCAATAATGAGATGATGAAACATTATCACCATAATTAGTCCAAGGATCAGATGGATATGTATGGAATGGACGGGTTTTCTAAACCAATCTTACCTAATGCTTAAATCAAACACACCCTTAAAGGATAAGGATGGGCAGCCCTTAGGGGGTGTGAACTAGCTCTTAGGAGGTGTGAGAAAGAATTAAATCAGATACCGCTAAGTCACCAAAGGTCAGATCTAACTATTGAACCACCTCTAAGGATTAATTAGGTCAGTATTGCCCTTATTTTGTTTTCCGTACGTGACTATATTTTGACCAGCCAACTGGGCATTGCGTCATAACAAAGGACCCGCGTTGGTCCAGTTTACTAAAAAGACCATTTGGTTAATTGAACTGTTGGAGAATTGAAAAATCGATCGTTTGGGCCAAAAAGTAGTGAACTGAAAATTAAAAAATTGGTTGGTTCAAAACGAGCCTTTATCTTCTTCATTTTCTCCAAATCAATCTCCCGAATAGAGGCACATGACACCACAGATCTAGATCTTGAATTCCAGAATTCTTCTTCTTCGTTTTCTTTGTCTTCTCCAAATCGAGCTCTCAAACAGCGACACACGACACCACAAATCTAGATCTCAAACAGCAGATCTTGAAGTCTTGAACACCAAACTTCTTCTTCTTCTCCTCTCTCTCTCTCTCCACACAAACATACACTCACAGTTAAGAGATGTTAGAGCAACTCCAACCCAGCTCAATAAAATGGTTAGCCAAAATATATTTAATTATTGCATTCTCTATTTTAGCTAGCCACTTTTTCAAGTTTACTTCAACCACGCTCTCTATTTTGGCTAATTACTTCAACTAACTTTAACTAACTTTCAATTTAACTACAAATCAATATCAATTTACCCATCTATTTAACCAAAAATCAATACCAATTTAACCAAAAATTAATGCCAATTTAACCATCTATTTAAACAAAAAATTAATACCAATTTATTGGAGATGGGGGTGGATTTCAACAGCAAAACAAAGGGGTGGGGGTGTGGATGTTCTTGAAGATACCTGGCAGTTCAGTTGGCGGCGACAAGAAGATGGCGAGCATGAAGGCCTCCTAGGTTTAGGTGAGGAGGATAATTAATTGGGTTGGAGCTGGTTTTTGAAGTTAGCCTCTCCAAAATTGCTAAACCATGGAAGGTAGCTAGTTGAGTTGGAGATACTCTTAAGTATTGTCTTTTTTTTTTTCTCTCTCTACACACGCGTGCACAATCAATATGAATATATACAATAGTTTAATACACACACACACTCAACAATCAAGACACACAATACACTATAATACACCAAACACAATGCACTATATACTTTTTATTTTTTTATTATACGATTGATCCTATTAATTAATCCAATGGTTGTACTAATAAATCATTAATCTGATCCCTCTATCAATATCTAATCCAATTCTCATAACACTGGTCCAAGTCGGCCTACAGATCTGGGGCACAGAGTCAATAGATCCTCTGAGGTCATAGGAGGCTTTGCGAAAAATCAGCAGGGCTAAAAGTGTCAAAAAAAAATGGGGCGGCCTCAAGTAGATTGAAGTGGGGCTTCATCACTGTCCTCCGTAGATCTACTGTAAATATGTACACAATAATTTATGGGCTTTTGTGATTAGGACGACGTTTGCGTATCAAAATCGTAAAAAGAGAACGAAGAGGAGAGAAAAAGCAAGAGTCAAAGTAGCAGGAGGAACGCCGCAGTTGTTGTAATATTTGTATTTGCAATGTGTGCGAAAATCAGAAGATCGTCACCATAAAGTTTTTTTTTTTTTCTAGCAGAAGCAGATCAGCAGTCCTATAGGAATTTACTGTCTTCAGCTTCTCTCTCTCTCTCCCCTTCTATCATTTCCGTCTCTTTTAAATATTTTTGCTTTAAACCTAATAGTCCCAACGGGATTGCCAAAAAAACAGCTCTTTTGAAAAGGGAAAAACAAAGAGTCTCTCGTTGAAGCTGATATAGAAAGGTTTTGTTAAGGGGTTTTAAGGAAGACCCAGGTGGTAGAAGTAGAACTTCATCAAGAAGAGACCAGGAGGGGTGTTAGCGAAGATCCATGTGGTAGAACTTCAACAAGAGGAGAAAAGGGAGGAGTTTTGAACAAACCCATTTGGAGTTGAGTTGGTTTTTGCAGAAACACAGTGACGAAGATAGAAGAAAATGGGTGGTTATGAAAGGAATGGAGCTGTAAGGCAGTACATAAGATCAAAGGTGCCTAGATTGCGATGGACTCCTGATCTTCATCGCTGTTTCGTTCATGCCATAGAGAGCCTTGGAGGCCAACACAGTAAGTTTTCCACGTTTCTCTCTTACGGCTTTGTTCGGTTGCTCTTTTGTTTTGGTCGATCTATTGGTTTTTCTCCACCTGAAAACATTTATTTTGTTCTTGATCATTGTTAATTATATAAAGGTGGATATTTCATCTTTTCATTTACTCTCCCACTGAGTTTTTGTTTATTCATTCCTGTTTCCATTTGGATTATTTCCTTTCCCCCGTTGTTATTTATAAAGATGGAAGTGTTTTTGGTTTTTAATATGTAGAAGCTACACCCAAGCTTGTTCTTCAGTTGATGGATGTTAGAGGACTCACCATTTCACATGTCAAAAGCCACCTCCAGGTCGGTATTATACTTTCCTTTTCTTCTGTTCTGGACTTTCTTTTTCTATTTTAGTGACTTGAGATTCAAATTTCCAACTCAAACTTCCCTCCTTCACTTATTACTCTTCTTATATTGTTCTTCTACTTTTTTTCTCTAGTTTTCGGGCTGTTTTTGTTATTTGTGTTTCTTTCTTTCACACAGATGTATAGAAGCATGAAGAGTGATGTGACCAGCCAAGGTATCCAAAGTTTGCCATCCCATATTCCCCGCATTTCATTTTTGTTATAATCTTCCTCTTGACTATATATAGAGTTGTATTAAATCCACTATTTTCTTTTGTATATTCTTTGGAGGCAGCCATTTTAATCGTTTCCCCTTTTTTAGTATTCTTCCATGTACAGAATCAAAGTTCAGGATCTCACATCTTGACATATCTTTTGGCAATTAGTTGCTACCTCTCACTTCATTTATTGTTTCATTCCCAATAAGGTTGTTTTTTAGCCAAAATAGATATGCACATATCGAAACCACTACCCTTTTACATCGTTCTAAAATTGGCATTCCTTATGAACCCCACAACCCCAGTCTCAACTTCTCAGTTTTACCAATGTTCTTTGATTAAAAACCTGCTTAAATGTTGTGCCCCACTTACCTTCTCTCATCATTTGTCAATCTCCCCCCCCCCCTCCCTCTCTACACACACACAAAATCAAAGAGCAAGCCCTTATTTCTTAAGGTCTTAATACCTTTATTTGTCTTTTTGTGCTTTGTTTGTGTCTCAACAGCAGATAGTAGCACCCAACAGAAAAATCAATCTCTTGAAGATCAACAAGATGGGTGCATTGATAGAGAAAAAAGCGTGGGTCACCATCCATCTCTGAAACCCGTTATAGAATCAGATTCTAAGTTCATCCATAGTCCTCTACCAACAAAAAGGTAAACCTTATCCTCAACCCTCGGAGTTCAGTCTCTCACATCTCAACAAAGGTTATACCAAGAAACAAAAACGAAATTCATTTACATTGGCATTATATGTTCTTGGCTAAGGCTGTGGTACTAAACTCGGTATTGCACTTTCATCCACCTCAGTTATTGACTTTGAATGGAATGAACTGCGATTATTGATTAAAACAAAGAAAAATCATAAAATAATAAAAATTATGTATATGACACGTATATCGACTAAAAGTTGGAGATTGATACAGAAAAAGTGTTTTTCGATATAGTAACTAGATTATTTTCTTTGGATTTTTGGGAGTAATGTTATTTTTGTTTTATATGAATTGTCCTCAGAGCTCTAATTGAGACGAAGATTTGTATCACTGAGAACCTGCAATGCAGCCAAAGACTAAGTGAAACAGTGACGAATCCGTACTACTTTGATGATTGTATGCAGATTATGGCTGAAAAAAGTGAAATAAAGGGGAGGGAAGAGAAGGGTTTCAGATGGGAGAACCAAGAAGCAGCTATATTTTCTACAACAGCCTTCCCTCTGCCACATAATCTCTTTCACAGCCTCAATACTGGTGGCAATGTTGGTGCAGTGGGAGAATCTGATTTCCTCAAGGTACACCACTTCTTGGACTCTCTCTCTGTCTGTCTCTCTCTCTCACACACACACACTCTTGTTCCCTTTGAACAGCTTTTTGAATGTGGTTGAGGGTCTTGTTAGTCCTATAAGACCCCCTTTTTAAAGTTTCCACTACTCTAGTATTGTAGCATGCTTTTTCTTTGTCTAAATTTGCCAGAAGATGCTTTCCTGACCCATGGCTGCATGGATATCTAAATGCTGCCCACCTTTTCTTTTATATTATGCTACTTAGAGGGATACAGTTATGCTACTGAAAAATTAATTTGAGAGGGATTAGGTGACAATGCCAAAAAATATCTTAACTTTTCAGCATTCTACTTATAGTTTTCGTACAATAAAATCGTGTGAAAGGTGTAAAATTATTTTATTATTTTTATAATCAATAACTACAAATTAATCAAACTAAAATCGCTCTAGATCAATGTTTGTATGATACTCATATTTGTTGTGGGTATCGGGTACTTGTTCATTTTAGAGATTTAAGGTATTGTACTTATTCGGTTAGCAACTAGTTTGGATGAGAGTATAAGATCTCTTTTTAATTTAATCACAATAATGAATTATGTTTTTAAATTAAGTACAAATAGTATTGTCCTACCGAGAAATATGTGAGATTTAGATTGGTGTTATTGTTTAATATGAAGGAGAATGAGTGTGGATTTTTTCAGAATGCAGTTATAAAATTATGAGGTACTATATGCCGGTTTTCAAACTTGTTTGGTTGGTGAGGAAATTATGAGGTTTTATATGCCGGTTTTCAAACTTTCGATCTTCTGGAAATTAGGTTGTTGGATTCATTAATGTAACACCAAACATCATTAGTATATGTCTCTTCATGTTTAACACAACACAATTAAATGTGTTTTTTGCCCCTTCACGCTATAAATGGACTCTTAATGGATATGGTGATTTGACTACACCAATCTTCAAGCTTGTGGTCCATTCTAATTTTTTAAGAAAGAGGGATGGATGGGGTGCAAAAGGGTCCTTTAATGCATTGGAGCAGCAGAGCTACACACTTCAAAAAAAAAAAACCAAAAAAGGACCAAATAATACGACATTAAGATGATAAAAAAAATTTAAATTTTTAACGAGAAAAAGTGGGATAAAAAATGCTTCCATTCTAGACCAACTTATTCAGTCTCTGTTTTTAGTCTTTTTTTTATCGAGAAATGCAATTTAGACTTTATTTGAGAATTTTATTTATGGACTTAATGGTTTACGACCATTGGATTGGTTGTACGCTCCATCTATCATTGCAACTCATAAATAATTCAATAGTTACATTGAAACCACATCATTAGATCCCCAAATAAGGTCTATGTAATATTACTCTTTTTTATTTGTCCAGCAATATCCTACTTAATTCTGGGATGAACTTATTATGTCATGGCCATTGAACTAACAATTAGTTTCATTAAATATTAAAACCTATTGTTGATTTAATGAACACGATTAAATAGACCTTTACATTAAATCTTTAAATTAGGTCTTAATTGTGTTCCTCTTCATAAGTATTGTCATCCGCATTATAGAAATTATTCCAATTGCTTTTATGTAATATTTATCGTAGTTGGAGTGCCGTAATTTTTTTACATGCAACGGTTGATCATTATTACAATTTTTTATATTGTCATTACGAGATAGCTAACCTAGTCTCCACCAATGGCGATTTGAGAGGGATAAACTAGTTACATACCAAACCCATGACTCTATTTTGCATAAATTAAAGTAGTTGTCTCTAAGTTCGCACTCCCAATCTAAAGGTGATACAAATTCTAATCAAAGAATCAGTGTCTCCCTCACTGTACCTGTCCTAGTAATACTGTGTCGATATTTGTTTTGATGGTCAATAGAGCTATAATCTTTCATATTGACTGAGGGACAGTTATCGCAAATTCCATTGATTTGGTTTCTCCTTTTATCCCATTGTTGTAGTTTTGCAGTATAACAAATTCTCTACATTTGTTATTTAGAATGTGAATAACTACTATGCTTACTATTCTCTACATTTGTTATTTAGAATGTGAATAACTACTATGCTTACTATTTGCACAAGTGAGTACTTTCCAGCTCTTGTTGCTCAACAGATTGCTGAACAACAAGATCAAAAATGCCTATCCCCCAGAAAAAGAAAATTACAGAACTTAAGAAATGGACATGATGAAGATGAAGCAGGTAACGCTGGCGGATTGTCATTGTCACTCTCACTGCATCATCCCTCTACTCAGAGAAGTAACGCTTCATCCACGAGCGAGATCAGTGAGACAAGCTCATCATACTCCAGGTCTAACTTGACCGACTGTTCTGGCTCTTCTTTGGAAAAGTGTGGGATTAAATTAAACCTATCTATTGGTCTATGTGGTGACTAGATTTATAGTAAAAAGCTTCCTAGGTCGTTTAAATTTTATCTTTAATTTGTTATATCTTCGCATGTATGAGTTTTGTAAACCCTTTTTTGGGTAATAGTTGTTTTAAAAATAATTCAATTATCACAAACCATATGTTAAATTCGCATAATGGGATTGCCTCCCAGCCATGGAAAGTCATTTCTTTGTAAAGGTAGACTGCAGGCTTGCAAATTTAGTGTGCCCAGATTTACTTTGACCCAGCTAAGCTTATGTGAAGGGTTGACCTGAATGGTTGATTGTGTTAAATTAGTTTGCCAAAGTAGAGCAGATCGTCTAAAGAGCTCGGTTAAATGAGCTCAGAACGGACAGAAGAGCTCCAAGTAAAGAGCTTCGGTCCAAGGACTAGCTCAACTCCTCGCAATGTAGCTCAGCCTAATTGATCAGTTTAGCCTAGAATGGTAAACACTTCCAGAGTATGATAATGACAGAACATAAAAGATACTTACAAATCTAAGGAACATATTCCTCACTTTCACAACTGATTTCTACTATTTCGGGTCGTTAATCAGACTCTTCTACAACTATTTTTCAATGACAGAAGTTCAGCCACTTTGGTAAAATCTTTCTTGTTGTTTTGTGTTGAAATCCAACTAAGGGTGAAGTTTTTATGTTTGGGAGTCAAGAAGATATTTTTCTCTTGATGTTTGATATCTCTAGTTGTGAGTAGAAGACTTGTAATCCTACTTTTGTTGATATTGAAGAGATTGAATTAAGTTTGGTCCCGTAATTTTTCCATTCGCCCCGAAGGGTTTCCACGTTGAAAAATTCTTGTGTTTTTGGTTGTTGATTTGGTTTGCTTTTTGTGCTTGTTTGTGGTTTTGGTTATTCTCTATTGATTTGCACATAGAGGAAAAGTCACTAATTTTCCCAACAAGTGGTATCAAAGCACGGGTTGGCTTCGGTTTATTTCATGTGTAATTCATGGAAGGTAATGTGGGGCGTATGACTACCTTCAATGGAACCAATTGAGTGACATGAAAGACTAAAATGGAAGACCTCTTGTATTGTAAAGATCTTTATGGACCCAAAGAAGGTGAAAAAGGCCGACCCCTAGGTATGATAGATGGTGAGTGGACCAAGCTTAATCAAAAGACTGTTGGATATATTCGTCAATGGATTGATGATAGTGATTTCTAGCATGTCTCTACCGAAAATTCAGCACACTCTCTTTAGCAAAAATTAGAGAGTCTTTATGAGAGGAAAACGACTGTTAACAAGGCTTTTTTTGTTTCAAAAGCTTGTTAATCTTAAGTATAAAGAGGGCAACTCCATTGCGGAACATTTGCATGAAATGAAAAGCATTGTAAATCAAGTTTCTTCCATGAAGATTCTTTTTGATGATGAGTTGCAAGCTTTGTTGCTTCTTAGTTCCTTACTGGGAAGTTGGGAGAACTTGGTAGTGACGGTTAGTAACTCCGCCCCCAATGGAATTGTCACTATGAGTCAAGTGACTAGTAGCTTGCTAAATGAAGAGACAAGAAGGAAGTCATCTGGTTCTTCTCATTCCGAAGCACTTGTCATGGAGAAGTGGGGGAGAAGTAAAAGTAGAACACCTCATAAGCATGATAAATCACGACGAGCTTCAAGTTCAAGGAAAATTATAGAGTGTCATTATTGCCACAAGAAATGACACAAAGAGAGAGTGTAGAAAACTCAAGAGGGATCAAAAGAAAGAAAAAGGTGATGAAAAGAAGCAAGAAGACACTATCGCAATCACTTTTGATGGTGACATCATTGTTGTGAGCGATGACGGTTGTGTTAATTTTATGTGTCAAGAGAGTAGTTGGGTGATTGATTCCGGTGCTTCATTTCATGTTTCTTCATGGACTGATTTCTTCACATCTTACACTCAAGGAGATTTTGGATTTATTCGAATGGGAAATAAGGGCTTATCTAAAATAATGGGTGTTGGAAATATTTGCTTGAAGACAAATATTGGTTACAAGTTGTTGCTTAAAGATGTGAGGCATGTCCCAGACATTCGGCTTAATTTGATCTCCATAGGGAAGATTGATGATGAGGGCTACAACAACTACTTCGGTGATAGAAAATGGAAGCTTTGTAAAGGATCTTTGGTTGTGACTAAAGGGAAGAAAAACTCTACTCTTTACTCAATGAAAGCACAAATCAGCAAGAGTGAAGTTAATGCACTTGAGAATGATTCCTCCACTAAGCTATGACATAAATGGCTCGGGCATATGAGTGACAAGGGATTGCAAATTCTAGCCAACAAGAAGCTCCTACCAGAAATGAAAGGTACACCTCTCAAAACATGTGTTTATTGCTTGGCCGGTAAACAACATCGATTTATTTTTTGTTGGAACTTTACATCTAGAAAGACCAATGTTTTGGATTTGACATATTCGGACGTGTGTGGTCCTATGAAAGTTAGAACACTTGGTGGTGCACTCTACTTTGTTACCTTTATTGATAACCATTCAAGAAAGGTGTGGGCACATGCATTGAAGAGCAAAGATCAAGTGCTAGAAGTGTTTAAATATTTTCATATTAAGGTGGAAAGAGAAACGGTGAGAAAATTGAAATGCATTTGCACGGACAATAGTGGTGAGTACCTAGGACCATTTGATGGTTATTGTGATACTCATTGGATTAGACTTGAGAGGACAGTTTGTAAAACTCCTCAACAAAATAGAGTTGCCGAAAGGATGAATCGCACTATTGTTGAAAGGGTTAGATGTATGGTTTCACATGCTAAGCTACCTAGATCCTTTTGGGGTGAGGCAATGTAGACAACAATTGACTTAATTAATCTTTGTCCTTTGGTTCCTCTACATGGTGAAGTGCTCGAAAAAGTTTGGAAAGGTAAAGACATTTCATATGCTCACTTGAATGTTCTTGGTTGTAGGGTATTCATTCACATACCCAAAGATGAGAGGTCCAAACCTGATTCTAAGGCAAAGCAATGCATATTTCTTAGATATGCACATGAGGAATTTGAGTATAGATTGTGGGATCTGGCCGACAAGAAAATTGTTAGAAGTAGAGATGTTGTCTTTCTTGAAGATCAAACAATTGAAGACTTGGAAAAGGTTGAGCAGCCCAAAACTTATATTGATGATCTTATTGACTTGGATCCGATTCCTTCACCTATTGTGCATGATGAAAATGGAGAAGAGGTGCAACCACTTCATGATGATGAAGTAGATGATGGGATTTGAAATGATGTTGAGCTAGAAAATGAGGGGGAGTTTCCAACTCAAAAGCCACCACCACAACCCGAGTTAAGAAGATCTATAAGAGAGCGGCAACCATCCAAAAGGTATACTTCAAATGAGTATGTGATGTTATCTGATGAGCTAGAACCTGAGACTTATCAAGAAGCCTTAAAGCATGAGCACAAAGGTGAATGGTTCAAAGCTATGCAAGAAGAGATGAAGTCTTTGCTTGAGAATCACACATATGAGTTAGTGAAGCTTCCTAAAGGAAAGAAAATGCTGAAAAATAAATGGGTATTCCAATTGAAGAATGATGAGAAGAGCTCTAAACCAAAGTACAAAGCATGGCCTATTGTCAAAGGCTTTGGGCAAAGAAAGGGAGTGGACTTTGATGAGCTTTTCTCACCCGTGGTGAAGACGTCTTCCATTAGAGTTGATCTCAGCATGGCTACAAGTATGGACTTGGAAATTGAACAATTTGTTGTGAAGACCGCCTTTCTCCATGAAGATTTAGATGAGGAAATCTACATGGAGCAGCTCGAAGGTTTTAAAACTAAAGGGAACAAGCATCTAATTTGCAAGTTAAAGAAGAGATTGTATGGATTAAAGCAAGCACCGAGGCAATGGTACAAGAAATTCCATTCTTTTATGATGGATCATGGGTATTCTAGAACCAATTCCGATCATTGTGTGTTTATGAAAAAGTTTTCGGGTGGTAACTTTATCATTCTCTTGTTATATGTTGACGACATGCTTTTTGTGGGTCAAGATTCTACCAAGATTGACAAATTGAAGGTGGAGCTAAGCAAGTCCTTTGCCATGAAGGACTTAGGACTGGTAAAACAAATTCTTGGTATGAAAATTCTTCGCGATTGAAAGAGTGGACAACTTTGGTTGTCACAAGAGAACTACATTGAAAAAGTGCTTGAAAGGTTCAAAATGGACAAAGCAAAGCTAGTTGGATCTCCACTTGCAGGAGACATCAAGCTTAGTTCAATACAATGTCCTACAAGTGAGAAAGAAAAGGAGGAAATGCTGAAAATTCCTTATGCTTCAGCCATTGGTTGCTTGATGTATGCCATGGTTTGCACAGGGCCGAACTTAGCTTATGCGGTTAGTTTGGTTAGCAAATTTCTCTCTAATCCAGGAAAAGAACATTGGGCAGCTGTTAAATGGATTATGAGGTATCTTCGGGGTTTTTCCAAGGTGTTTTTATGCTTTGAAAATTGGCAAGCCTATGCTGGAGGGATTCGCGGATGCAGACATGACTAGTGATGTTGATTCCTGAAAAATCTATATCGGGTTACTTACTCACTTTTGCAGGTGGGATTGTTTCATGGCAATCAAAACTTCAAACATGTATTGCTTTGTCAACTACCGAGGCTGAGTATATAATCGTGACAGAGGCTAGCAAGGAGATGTTATGGATGCAAAGATTCTTACATGAATTGGGCTTGAAACAAGAGAGGTATGTTCTCCATTTTGATAGTCAAAGTGCACTTCACTTGAGTAAGAATTCTACTTTCAAATTAAGATCAAAACATATTGATGTGCGATATCACTGTATACGTGATGTTTGGGAAACTAAATTGTTTCACCTTGTGAAAATTAATATCGATGATAATGCATTAGGTATGATGACGAATGCCTTACCAAAAGACAAGCATGAGAAGTGTAGAGTTTCGGCGGGTTTGATCGGTTCCTCCGCATAAGTCAGGAGGGGGAGATTTGCAGGGTGTCCCTTCTTATGCCTTCTCATTGGGACCCAACTCAAATTAAAGATATGTACATGTGTGCATTGCAACTATGCATTGGAAGAGTCCAGTACAAGTCAAGAATTGAAGACCTTTTGTCTTCCAAATTGCTTGACTGGTTTTACACTTCGAGTGGGAAAAATCTGTAGTACCATTGTGAGGGACAACTTCTTTTGTGAGAGAAAAGTGGAAGACATCAGCCCATGCCTTGCTCTTGTTCTAGACTTATTTTCACTTCGATCGAGTTGAAAATTTAGCAACATATTCCTCACTTCCATAGCTGATTTCTATAGTTTCGGGTCGTCAATCGGACTCTTCTACAGCTGTTTTTCAATGACAAAAGTTCAGCCAATTTGGTGAGATCTTTCTAGTTGTTTTGTGTTGAAATCCACCTAAGGGTGAAGTTTTTATGTTTGGGAGCCAATGAGATATTTTTCTCTTGATGTTTGATATCTCTAGTTGTGAGTAAAAGATTTGTAATCCTACTTTTGCTGATAGTGGACAGATTGGACCAAGTTTGGTCCCGTGGTTTTTCCCTTTGCCTTTTCCATGTTAAAAAATTCTTGTGTTTCTTGTTGTTGGTTTGGTTTGCTTTTTGTGCTAGTTTGTGGTTTTGGTTATTCTCTATTGATTTGTACATAGAGGGAAAGTCACTAGTTTTTCCAACACTAGCTTCTCTAAGAATTACATTCCTTTGGGTCCCTTATTAAGCATTGGATGATTGAACCTGGAACAACTCTGCTCTTTCACTTCATTTTCAGGTGATTGCAATCAAGGGAGTAGACGTGGAAGAAATCCAAAATTTTGCTTCAACAATTGATGTCATCTGCAAGGAAACGCCAAGTTCATATTCTATGGACGTTCCATGATTGTTACTACAAGGTTGATGGACATTTTAGTAGAAAATATGCCCAGAGATGTTCACAGCCATGAACTTCCAAAATGGGATTACAATGATAAAGATCCCCCTTGCCTCAACAAATGGCAAGAGGCACAAACAATGCACCAGATGAACCAAATAATGGAAGGATTAACAGAACATAAATCATTAGATCCTGTAGTTGCTCACTACTCAACAGCCAGACCTATCTTGTTAGGTATCTTAGTGCCAACATAATTCCGTGAGTCACATAAATGAAAAAATTATAAAAGTCTAAGGTTGAGTTAGAAGATCAAGGATTGGAACCGAAAGTCACGTAATAAAGAAGGCTTCTGAAAGCTTGTACAAATTCTCTAGCAACTCAGTATACTTCTCAATGTGCTCTGAAACTCTAGTATATCAAATTTGCAAAAGTGAAAGGGAAACAATAGAGCATATGTTATTCACACGTGAATAAGCTAAAAAAGTATGGTTTGGAATAGACATCAATTACAAAGTCAATCAGCATGGATTTTTCTCTCTCCAACAATAGACATCGGTCATCCTTGAAGAGGTAAATCAACACCACCAATGCATAGATTTATTGAGTAAAATAGCTACAGTGGGCTATACAAATTCGAAGTCAAGAAATAGTGCAATATTCAATAAGAAAGAGCTGAACCCCATTGTGGCTACCTGTCAAGTTGAAGCAACTTGGGGGGAGATACATTCACATCACGAAGGAGAACAAAGATCTTTGGCCTAGGAACTAAGTCATCAAGGCACAATCCGACTCTTAGTCCCCTCCCACCTAGAATGTGTTAAAAATTAACTGTAAGGTGCATATTCATGTAGTCAAAAGCAAGCATCTGTAGGAATTCTGATCAAGAATTACCAAAGACAAATTATTGAGGGCAAAGCCAAATCGATCCCAATGTTGTCAAGTAGATTTTTGTGAAGCCCAATCCCCTAGGAGAGCGAGTATGATGGCAAAGGCTTTAAATTTGGAGAATAACATAAGGGTTTGTTTCGTTGTTGTATTGTAAAAGAATAAATTGTATTAAGTAATACAGATTAATTCCATATAAGTGGATAAAATATAAGATTAAATATGAGACAAAAATGTTATGCGTTGTAATCCAATGCTTAGTAAGACATTGAATTAAGAATATGATAATAGAGTAACAATTACATATTGACTAAAAAACATCAATCTTATATAGTTATTAATGTTTTTAGGAAAAATTTCAGTCACACCTCTTCTAGTTTATCATATCTTTAAGGATACTTCCTCTATTTTCTGAATCTTCACTAACACCCCCTGTCAAATTAAAAGTGTTAATTATAATGCAATTGTACTAAATTGACCATGATATATTTTAAGAAAAACTTCATCCACACCCCCTTAGATAGATATATCTTCAATGAGACCCACTCTATTTTTTAAAATTTTTACGTATTAAAATTTGGGGCGATTAAAATTCGATTTGAGCTAGTTAAAATTTATTTTGTATGTTATAAAATTTGAATCAATTAAAAATTATATTTTTTTACATATTAAAATTTGAGCCGATTAAAATTCTATTCGAGGCGCATCAAATTTTAATCAACTTGTATTAAATTTTAATCGACCTAAATTTTGATACATAAAAAAACACAAATTTTAATTGATTCAAATTTTAATACGTAAAAAATAAATTTTAATCAACTAAAAGGAAATTTTAATAAATAAAAAAATATAAAATTGACGTCAAGAAAGACCAGTTGTTGAGAATCATGGTAAGAGGTGGATGTTCACGCCATAAAAATAGGATGTGAGATAAATTAAAGGAAAGAAGACCTGAAGTAAGAACCACAAACAAGGAAGAAAAACTCTAGCACCAAGGTAAAGAGTTTGCAGGCATAAAGATCTATTTATAAGGATAGCAGACAATACACATCACATATGCAAGGTGTCATTAATGCGCGTCTACCGCATTTAATACCACAGACACGTGACGAATGTGGGGTAAATGGGCGCTGCTTTTGAGGAGGCACCATCACCACTAACGGTGGACGTTCCCAACTGAACAAAACCTTCAAGCTTGGAGTACACGAAAAGTGGTGAGAAAAGTCCAAAATAACCCTGGCAAATCAAGATAGCTCGTGAAATGGGTAGTCTCGACTGTTTGAAGGTCAAGGCTTTTTTTAGTAGAGCAATGTAATCATAGTACATCACGGAACACCACTCTGATAGTGGGCCATGTTGAGTGCAGCCCATGGTAAGCCATGCTACCCATTAGTTAAAAAAATAAAAAAATAAATAAAAGGAAAAGCAAAAAGGGAGAGAAAAACAAGAAGGAAGGAGCCAGCATGCAAGAAAATATGTTAAGTCTTTCATTAAAAGGATAAGGAGAGTACACAAGAAGGAAAAGTTAAGTACAAAAAGTTAATTACAAAAGAGGAAAGACAATGGGCACAGTAGGGGAGCTCGACAATAGTGTAGATGCTGGCGCTTTGTCAACGCCGGGTGGAACCTTGGGCACGGCAGGTGAGCTCGGCGCTTGTGCTGGGCTGTATTCAGTGAGCCTGATCCTTTTTTGCAAGAGATCTTGGACCTTGTGCCCGTCTTCTCTGGCCTACTTGTGCTACAATCACGTCTCTCTTGCTGATCAAGTATGTAGGAACTGGGTAGGAAAAACAATCAAAGGGTAAGCTTGGGGGATTCACCAGAAAGATATGGTACAATATTGAAGGAACAAAAGATACTTATGGCTCCTTGAGATATCCATCCGCTCAAGATGCATGAGCTCAGAATACCAAAAGGGCAATCGAGCTCAAATTTGATCAACACAAGATCGCGACTCATCAGTCAAGGTCAGATACTCCTCTATGACACAAGGAAATAAGGCCACAAGCCGAGTTAGAACCCAACAAGCGTAGGGGGCAAGTTGATAGAAGAAAACTCACCAAGGCAGGGGAACTTACCAAGAAGACCACGTCTCCCCCAGATCGTAGGAACCTTGATCGGCATCATCATCTGGGGATCTGACTCCCAACTTGTCCTGGACACAAAGAAGTACCTCCTCCTCCATCCTTCGGGCTCAGGAGGGAGGTCAGTAATAGGAATATCTCCCCCCACTATGGAGCAAAATAATAGAACTCAGATACTTCCATCGGACGAAAAAAGTTTAGAAACTCAGCCAAGGTGGCATGAGGATGAGTAAACATCTAGTCCCACAACACATAGAACGCTAACAAAACTACCCACCCTGCAGGAGGCAGTATTGCGGCGCAAAAACTAAAGAACCTCCCTCGCAAAGGGAGGAAGAGGGAAATAAAGGCCCAATTAAAAGGGGACTTCAAGGAAACAGACCCAGCTCTCTAGAGACTAATGACATGAATAGCACCCAGCAGCTTGGATAATCACTCCACTAGGAAATGCATAATGACTAGCAATTGCTCGAGCCTCCTTTGCGTCAATCTCGCTAACATTGACATCAGAAAAGACCAGACGTTGAGGATCATGGTAGGAGGTGGATGTTTGCACCATGGAAATAGAATGTGAGATAAATTAAAGGAAAGAAGCCCTAAAGTAAGAACCATAAACAAGGAAGAAAAACTCTAGCACCAAGGGAAAGAGTTTGCATGCAGAAGGATCTATTTATAAGGATCGTAGACAGTGCACATCACATCTACAAGGTGCCATTGTTGCACATCTATCGCATTTAATACCATAGACACGTGGCAAACGTGGGGTAAAGGGACACTAATTTTTAGGAGGCACCATCACCACTAGCAGCGCACATTCCCAATTGAACAAAATCGTCAGGCTTGGAATACAGGAAAAGAGGTCCAAAATAGCTCTGGCAAATCAAGATAGCTTGTGAAAGGGGCAACCCCGATTGTATGAAGGTCAAGGCTATTTTCAGTAGAGCAATGTAATCATAGTACAACGCGGGACACCACTCTAACAATGTGTCAGGTTTGGTGCAGTCCATGGTAAGCCATGTTACCCACTAGTTAAAAAATTAAAAAAAATTAAAAGGGAAAGGGGAGAGAAAAACAAGAAGGAAGGAGCCAACATGCAAGAAAATATGCTAAGTCTTTTATTAAAAGGATAAGAAGAGTACACGTGAAGGAAAATTTAAGAACAAAAAGTTAATTACAACGAAGGAAAGACAATGGTAGTCAGGAACAAAGTTCATGCAGTGGGCTCCCCATCACCACCAGCCACCTCGACAGTAGCCTCCTTGTTCGTATTCATGAGCTTAGTAGAGGCTTCCTCATCTGCATCAACTAGCTTGGCAGTGACCCCCATAGCCGCATTTGCTGGTTTTAACGCCTCGAGTTAAGGCATGAAGGAATCTAGGTCTAGGCTGGGATATGCCTTCTCGTCTTGGTCTTGAAAGTTCATAAATCTCGTAATTAAGGCGGAAGCACTCTCCTTAAGGGGCTCATAAATCCTCCCCTTCAAGGAACCCACCTTTACATCTTTCACCTTCAATTCATTGTCCTTGGCCTTCAGCTGGGGTATCTTTCAGCTTTGCGTAGTCCTGATAACAGGTGTTTAGGTCGTCATAGATCCTCTTTAGTTTAGCCACCTCGGCTATCAAAACAGTCACCTCGGCTATCAAAACAACCTTTCTTTCAGTTATGTCTTTCCCTACCCCGACAACATTAGCAACGATTTGTACGTCCTTTAGTTCATACTCCTTTATAGCCAGTTGAGTTGCAATACGGTCTTAATGGAATTTCATCATCTTCACACACGATAGAGACTGACAAGAAGACACGATCAAGATAATTGAAAAGCAAAATGATCCAAAAGAGAATAATCCAGCAAGAAAGTAGAAAGAAACCAATACCTTAGTCATGCCCTGGATGGCGTGCCTAGTCTTCCTCTAAAAGCTGATCTGCATGGCCATCTCAGGGTCTAAAGTCAGGACCAGCTCAGCCAGGGCATTCACAGCCACCTCGAGGTCGCGAAGAAAACCATTATGCTAGGTAACCGTTTGAGGAAGACCAATTTCCACCTTCTTTCCCTCTGACAAATATGGTTGGAGAGGAGTGAGGACCACTTCTGAAGGCTTGACCTTTTTGGACGGAGGTTTTCTCTTGGACGGTTCGAGGGGCAGGGAAGAAGAGATGTCACCCTCAAGAGAAGCTAAATCCTCATGCTTATGCTCCAAAGAGGCACCTGTCGACCTCAGTTCTTCCTTGGGGGGAGGCTTATAAGTCTTTAACGACTTCCTCCTCTTCCTCTTCTTCTCGTCAGTAAAGCTGCCATAATGAGTTTAGGGTCCATTGGGTTAGGAGAAGCTATAGGCTGTAGCTTCGCGACGTGGGCAGGTTGTGCGTCCATTGGGGGTCTGAGCTCGTACTTCGCAAGGTTTTCCTTGATCACAAGATTCAAAAAAGAATTTAAACCAAGAGCCTTCACCTTGGCCACCTTAACATCCTCTGCAACGTCAACAACTGGACAAAAGCTTGTAAATCAAACCAAAGTTAGTATGGTAACCTCGAACAAAAGACTCTGCCAACAGACATATAAAGATGTATAACCAACTATTGGCCTTACGAGTATTCCTTGGGACTCCTCAGAACTGAGGGATGCGAGGAACATCGCCAGGTACTCTTGACAACTCCTAGGAATTGCCTTGAAAAAAAAAAGAACATTAGCTTCCACTCTTTGTTAGAAGATGGGAGCCTGTAAATCAGACTCTTCGCCTTCACCCTCTTGACAAAGTAGAAGAAACCCAAAAAAGGAGAAGATTTGAGCTGAAAAAAGGAAGCGAATTTGCGAATTATAGGCGGAGAAGTGTTCCCACTTTCAAACCAGTGGATGAGAAAATTGACTAGTAAGCTCCAGTCATTTGGAGACACCTGAGCTGAGCAGACATTGTAGAAAACAAGAATGTCTCGGATAAAAGGACGGACAAAAAATCAAAGGCCAGCACGAAAAATCGACGTGAAAAAGTAGCTCATCCCAGGAATAGAAGAATTGCATCTTTCATCCTCCCCATGAACCTCCAAATCCTGCTTGTTGAGATGGCTTGAGGTCGATTCGACATAACAAGTCAGGTCGGGAAGGTCTTGACGAGCCTTTTTCTTCATAGGAGCAAAAGTTGAAGTGCCCTTAGATCTTTTCTTCTTAGAACGACTTAAGGGAATGTGAGACAATACTGAAGAAGCCTCCATTAAAAGGGCCAAGGTTAAAACCTTGAGAGCCGGCCCCAAACCTTTCGCAATTGGCTCCCTGGAAAGAACTCAAATTTTTCTGCTAAGGACAACAAAAATTAGTCATCCTTAACCAACATATCACTAGTTGTGGGGACCTCCTCTTTGCTTGGGGGAGAGGACACCCCCTCTTCAATTGTAATTGCTTGGGGTAATTTACGAATTGTAAACGATAAGCAAAAATACAGGAGTGATTGTGGAAATAGCTAAATCTCCAAACCCAAAACCCCACCAGGGAGGGTTAAAGGGATCCAGATTGAAGGAGAAGAAAGAAAAGACATACCTAACCAAGAGCTAGAATGGAACCACACAGGGTAGGAAACGTAGAATCCTTGAACCACCAAGAACTTAAAACGGCTGCCTCAAAACTTAGAAGAAAGGAGGAGAAGCGTGAGGAGATAGGAATGCAAAATGTAAATGAAAAGGACAAAGAAGCCTTTCCCCTTTTTTTATACACAATATTTACTACCACAATAAGACGGGGATGGGAATATGCAAAGGGGTGTACCAGGGGTTTACTCTCCAAATGACACGTGTCCTCCCTTAGCACATCCTTACCATCAAAATCAGCCTAGAAAAGCTGAAAACACCCATAAGGCAGTGCCAGTAATCAAGGAAAACCATCATCCATGGAGGCATGTGTGACCATGGAAAAGACATATTTAACCCCAGGTCAAAGCTGTAAAGCCACTTTGATAACCTGGGGCTGGGGGGGGGGGGGTAACTCATAAAGATTGATTTTAGCTTGGGCCCCTGGTCACATGATAACCTAAGTGGCCCGTTTGCACCATGCCTACTCTGTTATAAGAGTGGGCCACAACCTAAGATTGGAGGTCTAATGACTCCCAGCTCGAAATATTCCTACTCGGTCATCTTAAGCACGGTGAAGTAGGCCAGCTCGAGAATTAGGAGTTCAATACGAGATAAATTCCAAATAACTTCCGTTGCGCCATGTGTTTAGGGGACAACTTCTGATGACCCTAATGAATAAATACTCCCTAGTAAAGGGAATATTTGTATGCATTCCATTTTGAGGATCGTGCCCATGTGCATTAGAGTAACAGACCCCGCTACAGGACAAATAACGAGGGGACCACAAAATCAGCCAAGAGAAGGAAGCATCACAAAAAATCCTAGTTGGCCACATGTATAAATAGAAGACGAAATCGTTGTACAAAGAAGAGTTCGAGAATTTTACTTAGGAGTGCACAGTGTAAAAAAGCTCTAGGCTCAAAAACCCACTATAACCATTGTCTTCTACTTCAAGCAATACAAATCTCAAGGAGCAAGAATCTCCATTATTGTGGATGTAGCCTTAATCTTTCGATTAAGGTGAACCACTTATATTTTGTTCTTTGATCTAACACCAACATTTATTTTCCTATTGACTAGACATTCACAAAGTCCCCCATTGGGCCTCACACAATCATTGTTTTGCACTTGGACATAGTAATTTCGAGTACCATCAGATATCATTCAACTCAGTGCAACAGAGGATGTGTCCCTATGGGAAGTTGATGTGATTATTGAAGATATAATCTCAAAATTTACATTTTGTGCACACACTTTGGATGCTAAACAAACCAGTGCATTGGATTTTTACCACCTATCTGAGCAATTACTCCTAGGAAAGAGGATCACCTATCCTCCTAGGGAATTTTTATTGGTACTACATGCTGATTGTAATTTTTTGAATGATTCATAGTGCAATACAGTCACACATGTTCAAAAAGAGGAAGAAAACGGTTTTTGAAGATTTCATTGAAATTCATCAGCAGATTTGGTAAGTTGGACTAAAGATCTAGAGAAACAATAAAAGGATAGTTTGTTTAATTACAACTTAATTGTATTTGCCTGAGTTTTTAGTGATCCAAAATGTTTTGACAAAGATAATTTTGGAAAAACAAATTTAAAGGCTAATCACAATTGGCGCTCAAGAGAGCACCTACTGGTTCGAGCAAGGATATAAGAAACTAATTTGGTTAATTCCAGTAGAAAACTTTGGCTTCACGCCCAGTGAATAAGGTCAAGTGCTCTCGCGTGACTATGGTGAATTGGATTCACAAGTTTCCCCTTTTTAATAAAATCTTTCTAAACTCAAGTATGTTATCTATTGCTGATTTAATCTCAGATCCTAGACATTTATAGAGAGCTTTTTTTTATAGGATTTTGCAAAATAAGCACATTGTTAAGAGAATGAAAGACTTGCAAAAAATCCTAGCTACTCTCACTATGTCTGACTGATTCTAGAAGACAATTAGGTTGTTTCTCATCTTTTTCCATCTAATAGTTAAACCTGTAAGTATTCTTAAGAGAATATTCCTTCTAGGCTTTTCTTAAAGCCTCGAAGATCTTCCTTTTCCAAAAACAAAGTGTTCAAGTTGAGATTGATTTCTGAGGATGAAGATCAAGTTTTGTGAAGGACACGTCAGTAGCGTTCCGAGGAGGAAGCGTGATCTAAACACGTACAGCCATAATCGGTGTCCTACGAACTGAACAATGAGAGGTAGTTTCTTGAGAAAAGAATAAGACAAGAGAATAACTTACATTTAATGATGATGCAAAAATCGATTTTGCGCATAATCAATAGTCGAGTATATCAAAAATATGTAACGGGTGTAATTAATAGGCAGTAAACAAGAAATTAATGATGATTAAGGGCTAAAACAGTAAATAATGGATCAACACAAAGATTTATAGTAGTTCGATTTGAGTGACCTACTCCACTCTCAAGAATAGCAGCGGTGGCTGGAGGTCTTTATTAATTGTAATCGGGAGA